ACCTGAAGGAGAGGGTAATAAAATAGCAATCAAGCTCAAGATAAGACACAATATCAATGCAAACTAGGCACTGACAGTGTGCGTCTAAATACACTTACACAGCAGCCACCCGTGTCTAGTTTAAAGAGACATAAATAATGACTTGAAGGAATAATACCACGAAAAGAATCTAATATAAAACACACCAGTTCTTTGTTTACACTTACGTAGTTACAAAGCTAAAAAGAGATATGCATGTATCAAGTTCAGCCTTTCTCACATCATATCAGTTTTTGCTCTGGATCCAAAGAAAAGCAAATAAACCCAGTTTGAAGTACTTAGCAATTTTGCAGCAAACTAGGAAATAATTCTTTCTTGACCACAGAATGCATTATTGGCATCCTTATATCTTACATAGGATTCCTCTGATTTGTCTGATTTAAATGCCGCTTCTTATTTTTAATTTCTTGGTTTACCTTCCCACTAAGTTACATTGGTTTCAATTTGTTTCTTTTCTATTTATAACCGAGTGGTCCATACTTAATCGTATACATTTCTAATATTTGTTTGGAGATATACCATTAATCCTCAGTGTTTGTTAGTATTTTTCCCTAAAGAGTTCATGCCATGAGTTGCAAAGCTGCCAAACTCTTATTGAAATTGGTCTTTTTAAAATTATGTTTTCATATACCCCATGTGCGTTTGCTTTTTTAAGTTTATTTCAAAAGACACCATATTGTGATTACTATTTCCCTAGTGCTCCCCTACTTGAATGTTTGTCAAAAGATCAACATTGCTTGTTATACCCATATCTAGACAAGCATCCTTTCTAGTTTGTGCTTGTACCAGTTGTGATATGAAGGTGGAATTTAACAGGTTCAAAAACTTGATTCCTTTTTGCTGAAATACTAGTCACTAGTCAACGTGCTACCCAGATGTGCAGCTTTCCATATTTGCTCTAACAGCTGTTCTTCCTCATCAATATCAAAATTAGGCAATTTATAACATATCCCAACCAATAATTGATTTTGGTTCTTTTGCAACAAGCAAATATCTACCAATAAAGCTTTTCATCTTGTTTACTATTTGGCTTTAACTCATGGTTACAAACAGAACCCCACTACCTTTCCTGGGTTTTAGTTATCCTTCCTAAATAAGGTGTAACTATTAACTGCCCAGTCATGTGTCTCATCCCACCACATATCCATTATGCCTATTATGTCATATTGCTTATGTTGACGATGGGTTGGTGGAGAACAAACATAAATCAATATTTTTGTATCTATTTTAATCTCAGCAATCTTTTTTTTTTTATAAAGACAATTAAATGTTGGATGAAAGTACTCTCAATTAAAAATATGTTTTATGTATTAATGATTGATAATATTATTGTGTATTAGATGAGCTGACTGTCCACAGTAATGACTGGGTATGTTCTTACATCTCATACAAATCCCAATCTAATGTTCCAATTACATAAACTGACCATTCCTGCTTCATACATAAAGTGAATACTGTATTGGAATCCTGAAAGCCAGACTTCACATAGATGGGGTTTCAGATGTTGCTCATTTCCACAGAGTTTCCTCTTAGATCCAAGACCTGATTAAGGCAACGCTAAATGTTCCTTGTTGTTTCTGGCCATTTGTGCAAAAGGTTTCCCAGCACAGCTGGACAATGACCAAATCACTGTGCAGTGTCATGGTATGTTATACCCATCCTGTTCATTCCTTATTATGTTATTTTTTTGGTACTTGTTTTGTTTGACTAGCCTCTTTAATGGCCTTAGGTTGTGCTATTGACTTTATTATCTTCTAGTTTCTCAACTTTGTCTTGTTTACGGTTTCTGCTTACCTTTCTAGAGTTCCCTTTGTCTTTGCATCCATGTAGGTTTTTGTCCGTTAACCCCAATCATTCTAAAGATTGGTAATACATCTCATGATTACTTTTCTGTTCTCGTTCTTCAAGATGGGATGTTCTCCAGCAGTACAATGTCTGTGTGATTCCACCAAATATGTTTTTATTTGTATTATTAGAATTCAATGAGTATATAAGACATCTAAGAAAATTAGTATAGAGGAAAGCCCTAAACATACAAGCTTACGGTCTAACATAGTAACATACTACATGGCGTCTAGCTTCCAGATTGCTCTGTTTAGGACAGTCATATGTCTGAAAACATTGTAATGATATCAAATTATTATTTGATTGCAAGACATCTAGCTAGAACCCATGTTGATAGTCATGGTTAACTTGGTACAGTTTGTAGGTTTGCGAAAAATTGACCAATTCATTATCAAACATTCTAGTTATCACAGCATCAAAGTTCTTATTCTGGATTTGAATCATCCTATTTCATCTTCCATCAGACAAGACACCTTATTAATGGCATGTCACATCTAACATCTCTGAATTCTGCAGAAATGCCAAACAGGCAAGAACTGGTTTATTTACTTTCATTTGGACCTCTTACAAACTTTTAAAACCTGGATATAGCAGCTGTCTGTTCTGGCCACAAAGGCCACTTTCTTTTGCAGTGAGAAAATGATCAGGAATTTTATTATATTGCCTGAAGCATCAGACAATGTGTTTCTGAACCCAGCTGTGTGATTCAGGAGTGAGTGGCACGTCTTTCTTACCCTTTGTGACTCACACGTTATTCTTCTGTCCTACAGCTACATTTAAATGGTAGACATAAAAAACAAAAAAACACTAGAAGGTGCGTACTATAGCTTGGACAACTATTTGCGGACAGAATTTGTTCCAATTGGTTCGTTTTTCTGTTTTCGTGACCCACATTTTTACTTTTCAAAACCTCTGTTGATGTGATTATTAAAACATTATGACTAATGAAGGGAATTTTTAGCTACATGGAATTAGAGAACAATTATATATACACAATTAAAAAAATGATATTGCAACACTACATGCTCGAGGTAAACCTTTTTACCCTGGGCAATCAAAATTTTGCCAGTAATAACATTCATATCTTTGTCCACAGAGTTAAAAATGTCATAAAATGTTTACAGTTTCTCGAAAATACAAACGGGTTTATAATTCAGATGTTAACAGGACAATGCTGAATACCCTGGATTGCTGGATGAAAAATAGCTAAATATCTGGGATTACACGGTCTACAATTATTCACTGTAACGAAGATGGTAGGGAAATAACTAGGGAATTGCACAATTATTTGTAGTGAATAGACTACATAATATTAGAGGTATGTGTTTAAAAAGAATTTAACCTAATCACACCTAATCACACCTAATTTGAAGGACATTCCATGCTGTCTTAAAGGGACACTATAGTCACCAAAACAACTTTAGCTTAATGAAGCAGTTTTGTTATAAAGATGAAGGCTCTTAAGTTTATCTGCTCAATTCACTGTCATTTGGGAGTTAAATCACTTTTGTTTCTGTTAATGTATCCCTAGTCACACCTCTCCTGGTGCTATATAAATACTAACAACCTATAATACAGCGGGCCCTGAGGGATTTGCCACCATCTGCTAACTGATACAAAGTGCACAGGGGTCAGACAAGATCTGACCAAGTTCAGCCAGATGTTGACGAGTCAAGAATTTGTTCATTAATACAGATACAGAACCAAGAACAGGAAAAATACAGTCAAAAGCAGGAAAATTGTCTTATTAAATATATATATAGTGGTTTTTAAAGTGAAATCCATGTCAGCAGGCCTGGGATCCTTTGTGTGTCTTCACAAGAAAGTGATCAGTACCTCTCTCTTACACATGGCTTTTAGCTCACAGGTAAATCGCCACCAAATTGAAGTCATATGGTTAAAAATATACATTAAATACACAAATAAATATATACAAATGTATAAATATATAATATAGTTATTCACTAAAATGGGATTTGTTGGGAACTGACCAGGGAAAATAAAATTTTAGTCCAAAATCGACATATAAGATATCGTCTCCACTAAAACGAATATAAATCTGTGTTACCTTGATCATGTCCCTTGTTGTATTAGCCCACCCCCCTCCACACCTCCGTTCGGTATTGAAAGTAAAAGCGCTTTTTTACCTACCTTGATCTAGCACCAAGGTTCCCTCGGTGCTGATGACCTCTCCTCACCACGCAATGTCACAGAGGACCGAATTCAGGGCTTCTCGCAGAGGACCGAATGCACAGGTGCAGTGAGTGCCCATAGATAAGCTTTCCTATTAGTGGGTTACTATTGGACGCCTGCATCACATGACCAAGATTTCCTAGGTCTGTGTCGCGCATGCGTCTTTAGTGGCTGACAGCTACCTAGAGCAGGGCTTTACCCTGCAACGTAAGCATTGCAGTTTCTAAAAAATTGCAATGTTTCACATTGCTAGGCTAAGGGGACAGAGACACTGCACCTAGACCACTTCATTAAGATGGAGTGGTCTGGGAGACTATAGTATTCCTTTAACGCTATTGTAATTAACTTATTGTGCACAGCTGCCAGGGGTCTGATGAATGCAATGTCTTTTCATACCAACAGGGACATGCAAAATTGTACTGGGACCCATTTTTTGTCCCAGCTCAGGGGTTAAAAACCAGTCCCCTATTGAGTCTAAAGTGATTTCAAAAGAGGTGTTGGAACTTAGAATATTTGAAGTAACATCAGGAAACAAAACTCTAATAATAGAAAATTGTAGATCCAAAAATAGTTTTCACATTATTACTAAAAGCAATGAGCAGGATCTCCTGTCACTATTTAAAACTTTGATAGAGCTGTAATTTCCTGAAATACACATTCCAGAACATCCTACACCAGTCCTATTTTGTCCCAATAAAATTAGCTACTGAAACGCAGAGGATTCACGAATTTCCATTATTGCAAAGAGGCTCACAAAGTGCAATTCATCATTTGTCTCCGCAAGAAACTTTTTTTTTTAGCAGAAGGAAGAGTCAGAGCAGGACCAAAAAGAAAAGCTCCTCCAAACCAGCCCATTTCCTAAGGGCGACTCCACCTCTCATGCTACAAAAGCACATTCTCTCTCGTCAAAAACTCAGTAACCACACAGGCACTGCAGGGAACAGGCATTGGAGTCACTGCTGCTTATAAAACACTACTGAAAAAAAGATCACAAGAGTTCGGAGAGATACTAACTTCTGCTTTTAGCATTTCAACAGCTGCAGTGCTGGGTCTTGTGCAACAAACTACTGTCAATAAGGGGATGAACCGAGAACTTGTGTTGAGAAAGATTCTGGAACAGATGTTTAGAATACTTGGGAGGAGAATTTAGTTGTTTTTTTTTAGCAAAAGCTTTAGCAAGAGTAAAAGTTGCTATTGACTAGGGCTCTTTAAAGTCGTATTTAGGGGGCATCAGCAAGATACTGTAGACTGCAAATTGGAAGCTGACAATTTAGCGAACGTTGATAAATAACACAGAATCAGCTTTTCTAAATGTTATTTCTGTAGTTGGATTGTGCTCAGTTTGTACATCCCTTGTTTACCATCATTTTCTGCATGCATTATTGGGTAATGTTTGTTGACAGGGCCTGGCTGTAAATTGAGTGAGGATGACTTGTTAGAGCACGTGATAATATGTTGGCGATTTATAAACTACAATAATAACAATGACTGGAGCAACTTGTGCAAGTGAGGGCAATAACTGCAGAGAGGACAGGCTAACTAGCAAGGTGGAAAGTCACCACCCAGGTTGCTGGAAAGGTGTAGGGCTCTGTAAAGAGAAGATGGGTGGCCATAATTGGGACAGGGCAAATGGAAGTCCTAGTAACTCCTCAGATACTGGGATGGAATCTACCTCTGGTGCAGTAATAAAACACAATCACCAGCACAGTATAAAGCACAGGTATGAACTGCTGGAGACTCTGGGAAGAGGTACTTATGGAAAAGTGAAGAAAGCCATGGAAAAGACCACTGGAAAGATGGTGAGTGTACAGCGCTACGGAATTTGATGGCGCTATATAAATAATACAATAATAATAATATACTACTAATTGGTGGACCAAACATGCGTGTCAAGGGGATGGGGGTGGGCCAGGGGAAATATGAGTTGCAAAATTTAGGATAAAAGCCAAGCTGGCTATATTTGAGCTGGAGAATTGTTCCAGACAGCAATTTAAGCCAGAATTTTGCCACTCAGTGAAGTTTAGTGAATAGTACTGATACGTTATTGTTTTTTTATTCTGGTGACTGTGTAATGTCTGTTATGCTATTGTTTTAATATGTGCGTTTTATTAGTAGTTATTTGACTGATCATCTATAGAAAAATGTGTTGCTCACTGATTCATCTCTTAAAACAATTGTTTCATTAATTTTTTTTACAATTTGGTAAATGTGTTCAAAGATCCAATAAACAATCTCATTATTTAGTTTCTCCCCTGTTCAAAGAATGACCTATTAGAATAACTTTACAAATATTGATGTTTCAGAAACAGTGAAACAGAGCTGCCACAGTGTGCAATTTCTTAAAGGAAACTATTGATTGGCAATTCAGTTTCCCAAGAGATCCAGCAGCAGGGGGTAGGGAGAGAATGATTTCCATTTTAATGTACCCTAGCAAATGACTAGCATTTTTTACAATAGCTCCATTCCTTCATATTTATATTTCTGCCTGATTAATGTTCCACTACATTGCAGCATTTTATCAATAAATAATGATATCAATCATATACTGTGAATGTTTTTTTTTTTATGTTCTATATCACTGTGCACATCTACATTTTGAAAGTCTGGCTATCACATTGGACTTTAGGTCATTTTGTTACTTATCAATGTAGAAAGATGTGAACTAGGATAATTGCACAATAGTATTCACTGACTGCTCCACTTCATTGTGTTTATGAATTACAATAATTTAATTATTTAAATCAGAGTGGGACAAAATTTAGAGAAGGGTTTGAGGAGTCAATAACCTTTTTTTTTATTAATGAACCAGTTTCAATGATATTACATACAGTGAATGTTCAATGTATGGAGATTTGTTTGACAAGGACCAGAAGATTTCATCTTTTAAATGAGCTCAATTTGCCGCCTCGCAAAATCGTTCTCTTTCGATTGTATTGTTCATATTGTTAGTTAATGTTTGAGGCTCTAGCGCTGAAATGTCTGCACAGATACTCTTGAACATTGTAGCCTATAGGTTGAAATCTATAAATGGCAGGTTTATTCCCTGTAGAGAAATTATATTAAAATAACATCTTTCTAAGAGTCATGTTCCCACCATTGGCAGAATAATAATAATATGAGTAGAGCTGTGGCATGTCCACAGTTCCACAGGGAACAAGATAAAACCATACTTCAAATGAACTTTTGTTTCTATATATATATATTCAGCAGTTGCAATTTTGTTAAGGGGTAAGGGTTGTTCATTAAATTGGGGATTGGGGATCCAAAGTGTATTTCAGATTTCATAACTAAATTGGAAAATTTCTCCAAGTCAGCTAAATTTTGTTTGAAGAAAAACTAGGGAACAAGTAAGAAAATAATCAGAACCCCCAAACCATCACAATGAGCTGCTTTGGTGAGGGTGCTTAGAGCATCTCCTTAAAGGACCACTATAGGCACCCAGACCACTTCAGCTTAATGAAGTGGTCTGGGTGCCAGGTCCAGCTAGGTTTAACCCTTTCTTCTATAAACATAGCAGTTTCAGAGCAGTTTACCTATGGGTTAATCCAGCCTCTAGTGGCTGTCTCATTGACAGCCGCTAGAGGCACTTCTCACTGTGATTTTCACAGTGAGAAGACGCTCGCATCCATAGGAAAGCATTGAGAATGCATTGAGAATGCTTTCCTATGAGACTGGCTGAATGCACGCGCGGCTCTTGCTGTGCATGCGCATTCAGCCGATGACGGAAGAAGAGGGAGGAGAGTCCCAGCGCCGAGGGAGCCCGGCGTTGGAAAAGAGGTAAGGGATTAACCCCTTCCCCCCCTTCAGTGCCACGGGAGTGGGACCCTGAGGGTGGGGGCACCCTCAGGACACTATGGTGTCAGGAAAACGAGTTTGTTTTCCTGGCACTATAGTGGTCCTTTAATCACATATAATCTGCATAATGACAGGTCACCAAGTCACAGATTTCACTAGTGGTAAAGGTAGCTTTTAAAAAATCTGAAACCAACAATTAAGGAAACCAGCAATTATGGAACTTGTAAAATTCTAGGTCAATATAGGTTGGAAAAAAAAGCTTTATTTTTTTTTCTTATTGACTTCACTTGTTTTGGTCTAAAACTGCAATTTCACTTATCAGTGCTCTAACATTCCCAGTTTACTGAGCCCAATAAAATCTGAAATCATCAGCACAGTTCAAGGGACTGACTACGCACACTTGCAAATGTATATATTAAACTTGGTGTCTGACTTGACACATCAGTTGTGTAAAACGATGAACAATTTTATGGTATGCATTCTTTTTCTTTATTTGTAAACTATAGATAATGTTAATTGTGTGCTATTACGGCTAGCTAGAAAAGATAAAATAAACAGTTATTATTTTTTTCTGATTTCATACATTGGTACATAATAGCAACCTTATTGCTATTTTGACAATAATTTTGAATAATTAAGCCTAATCTTACTGCACATGTGCATAGTCTCCTTTCTTTATATATATTTATATATAAACAAAAAACGAAAAATCCTTGCACTCAGGCTAAATATTTATTTGAGGCGCCGGGTGCCAAACCTTAGGCTTTTTATCTAAGTAAAACAAACATTGGCTGCACTTACAGTCTTAAATAGAAGAAGTTGCTATATTGAAGCATTATAATCCATATATATATATAAATCCAAAGATCCTTTATTTAGGTGCCATAGAAAAAGGTGACATTTTGGCCATGCAGGGCTGAAATTTCATGTTTTTCGTTGAGGCATTAACTAAAGGATGCTTGGATTTAAATGTTTGCACTGCACATTTTAATTTTACTATATTGCTTTTGGCTGTGGGCGAAGTCAGAGTCCATGGACCCTAAGTTGTCCAGAGTCTTTGCTGTTATTAATTCTACATTTACAGGCACTTAAGAGGTACATACAACCTTGCATGAGAATTTGCAGATGAGTTGCCCAGTGTGAGCAGGACTGTCCCTTTTTTTGTTGTTGCTGCACCACCCATTCATTACATAAATATGTCCCGAAATCTGATTTCATTTCTCATATTTGTCTGTAGAATTTTGCGCTATGTTTCATTGTGAAGATGATTATACAATATATTCTTAAAATTTTTCTTTGTCCCTATGTGCAACATTTCCAGGTATTTGGCAGCTTGTGGAACAGCAGCACCTATCCACTTTGTCTCCCATAATGCTTAGCAGCTCTCATGGGAGCCATAGATCATAGCAACTGAAAGGCAAAAAGTTACTCATTTTTAGAAGGCCATCCCTGCACAGAACAATAAGAAATATTGACACTGACTTGTCCCATTAACACAATCAATTTATTTTGATTGTCCCTTTATCCCCAAAGAGACTCAATCTGTCTAGTGCATGCTTTGTGATTCAGCATTTGATGATATACATTACTATTACCTAACTTAATGGCACTTACTTTATTGAATATGGAAGGATGAAATGTTGATTTGATATTGCCGAGAGTATACCTTGATGTTTGAAAAGTTCTGCAGCTGGTGCTTTAATGTAATATTATCATCTGGTAATGGACAGGGAAGCTCAAAGTGTGGCATTGATGTTTACAATGCACAGAGCACATTCTAGTTCTGAGAAATCCAACCCTGCAAATTCTTCTACGATTTACAGACTTAAATTACATGAGCTGGAAAATGTAAAATAAATATAGAATAGGCAGTAAAAATGGCAGAAGAGAATTTGCCAAATAAAATAAACTCTTTGCTGGATATATACAGAGAGCTGATATTTTAAGTCACAGAGTGTTAAAAATAGCTGTTTTCCCTCCACTAAGGGTCATGTGTTAAAGGCTACGGTCAAGCCGTCTGTGGCATTCAAGCTGTTACTGTCTAAAACCGCTGGAAAAGCTATGGGCCAACTTGGCACAGACTGGGCATTGCAATACTCTAGGGGGTATGTAAGTGGAATTCTTGGCAAACCAGACTTGTCAAATATCCCACTTTTCACTATGGCGGCAGAATGTATGCTTCAGTGCTATATCTATATCAATATATATGGCAGTGAATTGTGCTGAATTATACAACAAATTTGGTAAAAATACCAAGGTTGGCAAAAACAATTAGAATTTTTACAATTCAACTATTTTGATTTTAATATTTGCTTTTCAAGTCAACACAATTTACTGTTTACAACATGAATCCTGTTACAATTCCTGTCAGCCTTGCCAGAAAATGTGTCATGTGTTATGAAGAAACAATTTGCTAACTCGTTCCAACTTGCTTAAGACTCATACCCACAAGTGACTGTCAAACGGTAGGAGATTTATCTCTGGTAACTGGACTGCTTTAAAACATGCAACATTTTTATTGTTCTAAATGGATGGAGCACCAACCTATACCACAGTGCTGTTACAAACACTGAGAAATCTAAGCAGTACAACAGTTATATTTTAATAATATACTCAATATGTCATTAACTTTTTTTTTATATACAGTAAGACTTGATGGGTGTAAAATTATTTTTTTTTATTTTTTATTTATTTATTTATTTATAGAAATAATGTTGATAATTTAACTTTTTTATTTTTAACTACTTATGGACCACTGGCACATCGAGGTATTATCACAATCTGATCCCTAAACACCACATGTATGAATGAAAGATCCTGCTTATGTAGGATCAAAAACAGTTTGACTCCTTACAATGGGGGGGAGGGAAGAAGGGAGTGGCACAAGGCACCGAGCTGTAGCAGTTATGGTGCTTGGACTGTTCCCAGATATCCTAGATATTATCGTGGTGCCTAAAGATATATGTTTTAATATAAGTGTTAGTCTGATGTTTAGGCTCAAGCGTGCCATTGCAACTCTTAAAGAGAAACGTGCCTCAAAGATAAGGTAACAGGATCCCTTTTTAATGCTGCACACTTCACAAGCATAGTGCCATATAAGACTGCACATCCTTTTAAATGTGTGTGGAGCACAAAGACAGACAAAGTGACATCTCTAAATAGAAACGCTAGAACTTGGCAAATAAGATCTGCAATATCCCTGACAAAGCCAGGCTTTGAAATTGAGATAAAATGTTGAAAAACAAAAGCATGCAGAATTTGCTGAATAAAGGGATTTATACACTAAACACCAAATTGTAGAGTATTGATATAGTATTGAAATAGCTGATTTGAGAAAATTCTACAACACAGCTAAAGTCACAGCCTAGCTATTTTAGCCTAAATTTTGCAATGTGTTTATTTTTTGTTAATTCAGGAGACTTTGGCGTTTAGTCTGTGAATATCCCAAAAATTAATTACAAACTTGAAATTCGAAAAATTGAATGAAATAGAAACACAAAAGCATGCAGAACACTGATAATATGGAAGGAAAACAACCTTATCCTTTCATTTTGTAGTGAATATAGTTTATTGTTTATATTCTTTTTATATTGTGTCTCATTTTCTAAACAGCAAATGCCAGCAGTTTGTTGTTGTTTTTATTTTTTTGCTGCCAACATTTTCTTTCAGCTGCTGCCACCATTTCATTACAAATACATAATCTGTCTAACCTGCTGTAGTTATGAGTCAGACGTTAGTTTTGTCTGTTTTATATTGATATCTAGAAAATGTTTGGTATGTCACCATATATGTTTATTAACAATAGAACAGAAAAAAGGGAATATTTTTGGAATAAGATGAGGGAAAATGCAATTTAGTGCTCCAAAACTGTATTGTAGGATACAAAGAAGCAAAAAGAAAAGAAAGCACTGTGTGACATGGAACATAGGACGCCATGACATAATGTAGCTGGTGTGTTGGGGAACCAGAACAATAATTGTGTTGAATGTCAAGGAAACCAGAAGATTGTCTATAGAAGTGAGCCAACTTCTAAGTGTCACTTCAAAATCAACATTTTATGAGTTGCAAATCATCAATCTAGTAGTTGCACAGATTTGATGTATGTATTCATTGGTGGGATATCTTAAAAGTGCTTGCAAATTATGCAGTTCTTCTGAATTGCATCCTTTGCGATTCCTCCTCTTCATGCCATGGAAGAGACTCAACAGTATCGATACTGGGAAGTAGTCTATCAGAGGCATGCCAGTTGGAATCCTCTGAAGCTCTCATCCTGTTTGTGAACGAGGTATGTGGGGGGAGGAAAGCAGACTCAAGTAGAGTGCGCCGGCTACTTCTGTTAGCTCAGGGGAGCTCCCTGGCTGTCTGATTGACAGGTGGAGGTAGGGAGGGAATCATTAATTAATCATAAACGTGGAAATTTTTCAAAGATATTTTATAAAGTGCCTTTAAAATGGGATACTCCTCACCCATAAAGCACTTTAGCAAGCAGTGCTTTAGAAGTGCTTTATAATGTGTAGTGGCCCTTTAAGAAGAGGTAGGCCATTAGGGAGCATTAATAATTAAAAACTATATCAAGTTGTTTAGGAATATGCATATTGCACACAATCTGCAGAAGATGATGAATTTGTGATCAGAACGAATGAAAATGTGGACTTCATCAGCAGCTAACATTAAAGACCAGTTTAAATGGTTGAATGTGTTTTGGAATCAAACGGCTTTAAATATGCCTTTAAACAAACTCCATGAGCACCAAAACAACTTCATCAAAATTAAGTTGTTATGGTTCCCAGAGGTTACTATGGCCTTCTTACCTGAAGGGGTTAAATCATTCTAGAATTTGTTACTGAACATAAAGACATTAAACCTTTCTAGAAACAATGAACAGGACCAGAAATTTAAGAAGTCAAGGGTATAGGGTAGGCAACTTTTGGCACTGCAGATGGTGTGGACTACATCTCCCACAATGATCTTGCAGCCATATTGTTGGCAATGCATCAGTGAAGATGTAGTCCACAATATCTTGAGTACCAATGGTTGTCTAGCCCTGGTCTAGGGTTAGAACCACAGTTAAACTCTGAATGATTGCCTATGTAAAGACAATTTGCGGTGGTGCTTTGAACTCAATAACAATTGAAAAGAAGAGTAATAGCAATAAGATTGTTTGCTTATGTATTGCTGTAAGGGAATTATTTCCAGAAATCCCTTTTATTCCCATAAATTAATTATACAGTCCAAACAACAATTAAAGAGATTTGTCTTACTGTCTAACAAAGAGTTGTACTTAATGAAGACAGGACTCGGTAACATTTTAAGTTGTGTGGTGTAACGTTCAACCACAACTTCCAGATTGCAATAATTTGGATAGAGAATCTATCCAAATCGTCTCTTTTAGCCTAAATTTAGCAACTTTTTTTTAAAATATGAAAATAAATTGATCTTTAAATTCTCTGGTTAATAAAGGTCAGTATTCTGAACGGCAAGCACTATTTATTTAGTTTCATGTGCAAATGAATGTATAGATTTTTCTAAATCTCCCTGCAAGTCTGTGTCTGCCATCCAGATTTAAAATCTGTGTACTCATCTCGCTGCATACCTCATCTATTATGTCATGCAGGTCTCAAGACCAAAGATTACTGGGAGACAATGGGGACATGTAGTTTTCAAAAGTGTCTAGCCTGCGTTCCTCATTTATTTATAATACACGATAAAGTGATGAGTTAACATTGTGTCATGTGAGTAGCGTTGTCATGAATAATACCAGATTATTTCACTAGAACAGGCTTATTCTGCTTTTTATATTTCCTATACAACATGGCAGATTTATTGTATTATTACTCAATGGTATGATACACAGTCAGTTGAACATGGGATGAGTAGACCCTTTCAGTAATTAAATCATTGGGTTCAACGGATATTACTGCAGTTATAGCAATAACCAGTGAGCTGTCACTTTATACTTTATCATACAATGCTCGGGTTGGCCTAGTGTTTGACCTGTGATGTCTGAGTTCCTGTATCTGTCTGACTCATTTCAAATACGGTAAATCTGGCATTTTCAGTGAGTCCTCTAAATATATGCCTAAAATCTATAGGCAGATTAATTTTGAAACAAAATGTACTTTAACATAATAGCCTGAATTTGAGCCTGGATACATTAAAATAAATCCTGAAATCTGTAAATGTTTGGAGGAGGTATGTTTCTGGAATTTAATCTGCATTGTGCGAGCCAAGTTGTCAGCAAACATGTGCGTTAAATTGTCGAATGGTTTGAGACTAACCTTTGCAAACCTATTTATAGTAAAGTGAATCTGAAAGTCTTTTCATGGCAGGACTGTATAAATGTGTTTCCCTAAACAACATCACAAATGTCAAGATTACTGCCAAACACTGTTTGAAGGAGATATCTTTTTGCTTTAGTACATGGCCCATGTTATCTCTCCGACACATTCTTAGCACAAGGATGTGGTTAAGCCATCCGGAAGCAGCTGAGTTGACAGCTGGAAATAGCACTTCCAGTCAAGATTAAAGCTTCTTAATGCATCCTAGCCATCGTGAGTACAAATTAGGGGTATATTCACTAAACTGCAAGTTGACGTGAGTCGAGAACCAACATTCCTAATTACACACTTCTTCAGACTAAACTTGCCGCGTTTGAAAGCTTTCCTAAATTTGCTGAATTGAACTGAGTTATTATATCCTGCGTAAGGAATGGCAAGATGCTCCATCAACAGAAAATTTGATATCAGACATCAATCAGAGTCTGAGATTTTCTGGGTACATTCCAGCTTTCCACTGTGATGTAAAGAAGTCAAGGTTCTTTTTTATTATTATTATTATTATTATTATTATGTACAAAGCTCTAACATATTCTGCAAAGCAGTACAACAGGTAGACTAACAAAAAGTTCCAACAAGTTAGGCATGTTAGGCATACAGGGACGCCCTTCTAAGTCTCTAATGCCTAGTTAGGGAGAAATCTTCTACTCATAATTTATTTAAAACCTGATGAAACGTTTTAAGAATAAGTTACACACTATAGAGGCAGTTTTGAAATAGCTATTTCATGGTGAATAAGCATTTCCTGTAAGAGATATTGATATACTGTTTTTAAAGGAGGACTGTCATTCATTTGCTTACCCATGAGGACAATGATTATACCAGAGTACGATGTAAGAAGGCAACCAGACCACTAGGTATTAATGAAGTTGTCTGGGTGCAGTGCCCGTGTCTGCACCCAGGCAGTGTTTACATTGCATTTTTAACTTGAGTCGATAATAGATCAATGCATGCACACTAGCCTCCCAGTACCACCCTACGGGAAAGCATTGGATTGGCTGAGTTCATCATTGATAATCTCAAAGAGGTGGAGAGAGAAGAGTGGCGAGGACTGAAAGGTAAGCATTACTCACATTCAAACTTTCACACCGGGGTGAGGGGACACAGATAGGTAGCAGGATACTATAGTGTTAAAAGTACACGTTTGTATTCCAAATGCAATATTCATTTAACTGTTGAAAAAATGTGAAAAAAACAATGATCATAGTCTATTGATATAAACCAGTACCCATTGTACTGTCTTAATATCTCCTCTTATAAGAAGAAACAAAAACATGAGCAATAAAAAAAATACTCTTGGGACACAAAAAAAAACGCACTTTCACTGTAAGATGTCATCTTGCACTGGGTCTTATAAACAAAGAGACTGCAGCCATCAAACTCTGACCTCGGCAGGATAACTGAGGCAGAATGCAATCTAATTTTTTCAAGTCGTGAGAGGTTAAGTAACTTGTTCAAGCAACTGATCAAATATTAACCATAAATCCAAAAGACAAGGAATTGCTTATTGCATGAATTATTGGTCTGTGTTTTATAGCTAAAAAGAGACTTGTCATGAGTTTTTTTATATCTTCAAACTGTTTAATGAATAGATCCTTCTGTATCCAGGTATTTTGTTGAAGCTTTTTTGTTTTTGTTTTTTTGTTGTGATAGTGAGTACAGATCATCATCAAACGCCACAACAGTGTACACAGATACATACAAGCTAAAAAGTGGCATGAAAATGTGCACATTTTTTGTTTTATGAACAGGCTTAACATAGTGAGTAGGTTGTCAGTCAAGATGAGGGAGACATGCAGACGGTTCAATGGTAAATTAACTAAAGTAAAACATGTATAAGTCTGAGGTAAAACATAAGAGGGTGCATGAGCATTACAAGATATGACAAGTGTTGAGTGTTGCACATTTTTATTTTGTATAACAAGCAGGCTTAGCATGATAAGTACGTGTCCGTCGTAGGGGTTCCGAGGTATCTGTACAGGTGGGTGAGACTTTGGAGGTCGTGTGACAGGCAGTAGACACTTTACAACATACATAAGGAACTGCACTCAATCCCATCAATCTGAGCCTGGGTGCAACTAAACCATAACCAAGCACCAGGTTCTAATGGTAATGATATACAATACAAAAATGGTTTGTTCAGGCACTCCAAGGTTCAGAACAGGCAATTTTATTAGAATCCACAGCAATGTTTCGACCTTGCGGTCTTTTTCAAGCTTGACAAAGACCGCAAGGTCGAAACGTTGCTGTGGGTTCTAATAAAATTTCCTGTTCTGAACCATGGAGTGCCTGAACAAACCATTTTTGTATTGTATAGGGAGTAGACACTTGTCCTGCAGCTTCTGCCAGAACTGTTGAAAGTGGTCCCATGCCTTCACCCAGCTATCAATGTTTTGCATCTCCGCGGACTGTAAATTATGTAAGCTTACACATTATAGCACACACAGGGCTATTTACTGAATTGAAAATTGTCAGTGAGAAACATGTGTGGACCATTGCTTGGTTAACTTGTCTTTCTCAATAACAGGAGAATGCTCCAAAAATCCTCTTTAACATTATCTTTATTCTTCATCTGTGGGGAATGAACAACTAAATTGTGAAATAAGAAAAAAAAATCGACTTTTTTCCTCCAAGATATTGTATTCAACATTTTAATCCAGTTTTCAGTTCACTACAAATAACAGTTTAGTGGATAATATATATATATATAACCTAATTATGTATATTAGAATGTAGAATGTCCCAGAGTTATTAACAGCTTGTTTCCTTCTCCGCAGGTTGCGGTAAAGTCCATTCAGAAAGACAAGATCACTGATGAGCTGGACAGAATCCATCTCCAGAAAGAAATTGAAATCACAGCACTGCTAAGACATGAACATATTATACAGGTCTTCGAAGGTCAGTCTGCAGCCTCAGGCATGTGTCACAAAGCATAGCAATAGCAGAGGATTCCCTACAATAAACAAGTCCTCTGTTCTACTCAGTTTAATATTTTGTCTGTCATAAAAACACTTCAATATAGGTCTTGTAGGTTGGGATTTGCTGGCGTGCTGAGAAACGTGTGTTAGGAGATCAATGGTTTAAAGATCTCCTAAAGGTACTTTCTGCACAATTTTATTGCTGGTACTAAAGTAATGTCACTCCAACCATGTTCAGTTTTTATGTTGGGACATATACAAATGCAACCCTGCCTGCAGTCACTACGAAATTAAATAGCAAGAACCACCGATGTCAAAAAAGAAAAGGTGGATCTGCACAAGATTACATTTAAGGACCCTGCAGGTGACATAAAAACATAAGCATAAAAAAATATAAATTAAGCTATTTGCACGAGTGGCACAATCCAGTCCACTGCTATGATTTTTTAGCCATCTGGGCAAATTCATGTTTTCTCATGAATTAAGCATGTGACAGAAAGCTATTAGAGTACTTGGGCATGGTACAAGTAAAAACCTTGAAGCCATTCGCAGTTGTATTATTGCATTTAGTGAAAAGTTTTCAGTTTGGGGTAGCTTGGAGGGGCATAAGAGGCAAGTAAAAGCTGAGCTGCATTTACATCTCAAGTACCTGAACAGATGGATTTTCTTGTGCGCCCCCTAACTCCTCACAAGAATACTGAGATCTGTGTCACTTACTCCACAGAGTGGAGATAATCTTAATGAAATGTCTACATCCCATACCTCCATATATAAATGAATTACAATTTAAACTTATCACAAAGAGTGTCCCTCAGTTCAAAGAAAGCAACAATAAAATATAAATAAAACAATAAATGCACATTTTTAGTTTAGCAAATGAGCCCTAAGCACAAAGGTGCCCAAAATGTAGATCCCCAGATGTTTCAAAACTACAGCTGCCATGGTGCTTTTTCATTGTAAAGCATTCTAAAGGCATGCAAAGCGTTATGGTAGTTGCAGTTCTCCAACATCTGGGGATCTACATTTTCGGCATCCCTGCCTTAGCAGGCACGTGCCAGTAGGCAGCTGCCTATTGGGAAATCTGGCGGTGGAGGTAAGGGCTTGAATACGAATTAAAACACTTTTTTTTTAATAGTAAAAATCAAAGGTTAATTACTTGAAATATAACCTGCACAACTGATGTATATTATTACCAGAACAGCTTTAAAAGAACTTGGATACATGCCTGCAGAGAGTCTCATTTTGTACTGCCAGATACTTTGAAAAAATAAACAGAAAACTCATAAATAGAATTTAACAGAAGGCGAATTATTTAAAAAAATACATGGTTGCAGTGTTCTCGGTTAGGCTAACCTGCCCCACTGGTCTTTTCTAAGAGTAAACAATTTATTTCTTCTTTGATTGATTGGCTATTGTGATCAGTGTGGCTACCAAAGATGTACTTTGGAATTGTTTCCATCATATTATTAGATACTTTGAAGTCGATTCTGTAGCACTTCTAATGAAAAGCTACTTTTACTCAGAAGAAAGCTATGTTGTTTATGTTTGAGCAAAATAAAACATAAGTGCTTTTTGGCAAAGAACAAACATTGAAGAAACACTCCAAAATGGGTATACCACATACTTTGAATGCATTATATATATCTACTATGTTATATATTTTTAGAGGGTCATGATTAATAATGACCACAAAATATTGTGTATAAGATCAAAGAATGATGATTACAGGGGTAAAATTAATTTGAAGAAGATTCATCGGGTTCAGGTGCACAAATATCTAATAGATCAAACATGGAGGAAGTGACTATTGCCAGGTAGACCTCAGGTAGGAAGTCTAATCGTTAGAAAACCGATTGACTACTGACATTGGGGGTGCCAAAACACTCCTGGCACCATCACCACTACAGAGCGCTTGTAAATTAGTTACAGAAGATAGGCTGAGTGCCACATATTTCCAGTGTACTGTTCTTGTTGAAATTATTTTCCAGCATATTATTCTGAAAACATAACAGCATTTAAATTCTAGCAGCATAATTATGTATTTTACATTCCCATAATATTCTAATATTTTTTTTGTTTTGTTTCCACTTTGGCAGTTTTCGAGAGCAGAGATAAAATAATTATTGTCATGGAGTATGCCAGCAATGGGGAACTTTATGATTTCATAAATAATAAGCACCAGATATCGGAAAGCGAGGCCCGTGGGATCTTCAGACAAATTGTCTCTGCTGTTCACTACTGTCACAAGGTAAATTGGCATGCCAACTCCCTGTGATTCATGTTTTTGGTGTCATACCGTTTGTTTGCTTTCACAATTACTGATAAAATAATGGCTCCAAATATTGTTAGATAAACTTTCCAAATTATATGATATTTTTGGATAAACGTTTAAATGAATTTTTGAACATATTAAAATATCCAAAACATACTTAATCTAAAAAAACTAAACAAACATCAATATATAAAAAAATTCAAAATATTTAAAAATTATATATTTTAAGTAATATTATATAATTTTAAAAGATTATTCAAAAATATTAAATCATTTGGAAAGCCTATCCAACAATATTACATTGAAGCCAATATTAGGTTCAAAACTGTTTAAAGATGTGTTTTTTAAATTCTGTCTTTTAATGTGAATATATCACATGTATATGTTTTAGTTTATATGACCGATGCATAGAATGTTTTAAATGTTTTGGTGTATAGATATTGTCCTTTTATGTCTGGAAATGTTTATATATCTCAGAGAACATTGATTTCCAAGTACAGCAAAACTATAACTCCCCAAATTATGAATTATGTACAGTCTCTCTCTAAATTAGAATTGAAATTTACTTCACTGCCCAATAGACTAGTCTGTATAATTTATTTTCTTCAATTACAACCAGGTGACAGTAACTGGTGGCTTGATGACACTTTAGTTGTCATTTTTAAAAGAAACTATTAATTGATTATGATTAATCCATTGTCCTTACAAGAGAAGGATTAAGATCCTATGGGGTCCTAGACAGGTTACCAATTTGGGCTCATCCTTCTTTCTTCAGAAAGGGATGGTTAACGATATTAAGCAAATTCATGGTCCCATGACCCCTGTCTAACCCATGGACTTTAAGCAGTCAATTTATGGTTAATCCAGCTCTGGTCCCTATTCTCCATTTAATTGTGAACCCTCAAAACTGTCCAATGTGCAAATCCGTGACTGACTAAACCTAAAAAGCAGTCTGAGAGCCAAATAAGTTTAAACAAAAAAAAAAAAAACTATTTTGCTGACTTGACATGTGGTAATCAACCTAAGAATTTTTTGCTGACCGATCACACGCTTATAAGAACTTGGGATACATCCATACACTCTGTAATAGCCTTAAAAGTAACAGTGTTTACACAAAAACATTTAAATGTATACAGTACTTACAATTACTCTGGTCTAAAGATAATTTATGTTCTAAATATCTGTCTACTACTAAAAATAAATTTTAAATAAATATCTTGTCTAGATATAAGAACTGTGTAAGAGACATGTTGATCTTGAAATTAAATACTGGATATTTATTATGAGCATAAATTCACCAAAGTTTTTCTAATGATGTATAAACCTAACGTGGTAATGGCAATATTTCAAGACATTGCATTTAAAACAAACCCGAAATGCAATTTAAAGTTTGTTCATGATTTTAGAATGACAAAATATCACTGTCTCTCCAAACGTAAACTTTCAACTATTTGTAGATGTTTGCTTTTAAAATCCTAGATTAAAACAATAGCAAAGGAAGATGGGAACATGCTTTAAGAAAATTATAAAAAGCCTGTTCACTAGAGCAAGTTGCAATAAGTCTAAAAATACCTGAAAAAGATTAAAACATAAAGATATTTAATACATATGAAACTTTAAAAGGGAAGCAATTTATTAAAGTCAACTGATTAAGGCCATATTTTGAATAGTGGTTTGGTTTGCTGCTTTTAGCCAATTAGATCTGTGAATCAACTAGCAGGAACATGTGCTGCAAAATATAGAGATAATATTAGTATTTTCACATTAGCACATTTTCAGCCATTTTGGGTTGTATGAATTATTTTTCCTGAAACAGATGCATGGACAAAATTCCTCCGAATCGAAATAGCACAAAAAAAAATATTTTTTTGGACAAGTTAATTTGGATGAACCAAGACTTTTTGCAAAGTCTAATGTTTTACAAATATGTATATGTGAAATGTGAAATGGAGAAATCCACACCTCTTTATCCTATAAATGGGCTTGACACCATAGTTGTGAAATGCTATCCACCCTGGCTTTATGTGATAATGACTATGCCCCTTCCCTTTCATGACACTGTCAAAAAGGGACCAAGCATGGATGTCATTACAATTATGGCCCCCCTGTAAAAATTCGTCAATATACCATACAGTACACAGCATAGGACCCACATTACATACAGCACCCAAATGACATGAACTGCTAAAACGCATAATACCTACATCAGACATACCATCACACACAGGACCCATATGACACCTCTAAGCCACTGTGGAATAATGAGTTACTTCATCACACACCACTCACATTGTACCCATTATTGAAGCGAATTACAACCTATACCTATTAAAACACTGCACCAATTTAAGTGTGTATCCACCATGACAACCACTTCACAAACAGCATCACTTATACCCATTATGCCTAAGTAGCCAAACATGACAGAGGCCAGGAGCATCAACATACTTTTTCGGTGTAAGATTTTTTTTGTCCTGTTGTACATTTGGACAACCATACTTCAAATGAAAGAAGGATTAAGGAAGGGTATGTTATCAACTATTCAGCAAAGAAAAACAAAACATTTGTAGCTTTAAATGATCAAAGTAGCTCCTGCCCGGAGCCTCTCCAAAATGATAGGGTCCTCAGCAGCTGCATTTTTTCTGTATATAAAACATGGTTTAGTCCTGCATAACAAATGCATTTCATGCTATGAATTAAAGGCTAGCATGTGCTGGCTGCATTAGAATTAGTAGTAAATGTAATATTTGAACTCACGTAGCTTAAAACATCTTCCTTATTTTAACATAAAATAGGCTTATCATAAGAGACATGATAAAGGTTTATCAAGTTTATGCACACTTGCCATTATATATGTTATTGTTCTCTGAATTAGTGCCATTTGGAATAATTCTTTGCAGGCATGCTGGTGAAAGGCTGGTGTGTTGCTGTCTAGTAAAATATTTTGGTTTCCTGGGTAACAGTTGGAATGCAATATGCTTGTGTTGATCTTTCCATTGAGATGCTTCAGATTTTATTTCACTGTCTGCGTTGCATCAATATGCTATTATTTTTGTATGTAATGATAGACGTCTAACTCTGTCTGTAAAAATGTATTACCTATGATTTACATTGCGTATTACACAAACAACCAGGAGCTTTTAAATTTGATTGCAGATTTGGGGTTGTTGCACATATGTATAACATTTGTAATACATTTTAAAAGAAAATCCCAAACACCATAACAGCCTCCCAGTGCAATTAGTCAAACAGTTTTTAACAGTGTGACTCCTTACCTGGGGTCCACGAGGCACCACTCCCTTCTATTCTGAGAACTGGAAGCTCCTTCTACGAGCTTCCGATAGTTCTCATGATCTAAGCCATATTGTGCAGAGACAGCTCATTGGCTGAGAGTGTCCGCTGATTGCTCTTAGCCAATGAGCTAAGCCCACCACAGTTTAGCTCAACCAGAGAGGGAAGAGTTGCTCCTGACAGATTTCAAGTAAGAAGTCAAAACATTAGATTATTTGACTATTTACATTGGGTGGGCTCCAGAGCACTACAGACACCATAACCACTGCAGTGTTTCTTTAGTACATCTTTATGATCTAATGACAAAGATGGTGCTACTCTGTGTAATGCTTCTTTTTTTGTGAGTTTGAATTGAAGGCTACATGCAGTAATCACTGTTTCTCCCACGGTATCTGATCTCTAAATAATTTATGTTAAGAATAATACCCTAATTCACAAAATCCATTACATCCAACTCTTACAACCATAACCTCTAACCCGAACCCTTTTATTTTATTATTCTTTTCAGAATGGGATAGTCCACCGTGATATAAAACTGGAGAATATCCTACTTGATGAGAACTTGAATGTAAAGGTAGGCATAATGCCCTTCAGTATAGATGGTCACTGGATATCACATTTCTGAAATTTTTGTTCTGCAATTTTTCAATTTAATTTGTTTAGCTTTCCCATTACATAGCGACACAAAGGGAAAAGTACAAACAGTGACAATACACCTGAAACACCTTTGTATTTATATTTTGTTCCTGGTGAGTTAATTTTTACAGAGGTTTTCATATTCACCAAAGTGACCGTAAAGGGACAATCCAGGCCCCAACACAAGTTTTATGCATTTTAACGTGCACTTTGTATCCTCTTTTGCTTGGGGTTCGAATTTAAGTTTTGCAAATAAAGAAATAAATTGCAGCAGTGTGCAATCTTGCCTCACCTTCTCCTCTAATATATAGTACTTGTCTCTACGGCTAATTGCTGTACCTGTACAGTATACGTCATAGCTTTCTGTTTCTCTTCATCCTAACCTGCTGTATTTAAAAACACAGGTGTACATATCATCAGAAAACACAGCACACATTTCTGGAAGTTGCATTTTAGATAACAGTTGTCATAAGAAGAAAACTAATAACTGAACTGCTACAAACAGACAGTTTGACAAATTAAGAGGTGTGAATTTTTCTTGTAGTGACTAGTCACTGCCACATTTCTATTCTCTGCAATAGACTTGGAGATTTGCAACATTACAGACTGAAATTTGACAGAGTTTGAGCCGAATCAGGAACCAAACAAAATGCACAATGGCTAGATGTTATAATATTTATGGGTGAAATTCGGCCGTCTGAAATTTTTATTTTCAGCAGAAGTAATTTGGGAAAAATCAATTTTCCCTTTATGTTAATAAGCTAGTGCTCCAATCTTCATCTCTAGCAGTGCTGGGTTAAACATGCCCAACAGATCATACTGCATATACCAGAGTGAGGGGTTTATTTTCCCTTTGCCTTTTATACATATCATCTCCATGTTCTATGACAGAGTTGAATATTTTCGTACTTTAGAAATATAAATAATAATCATCGTTTCAGCATGGGTGCTGTTATATGCTTATTAAAAAGTCAAAATTCTATTATTTGCTAATGTGTTATAGCAGCACAAGATGTAAAGACTACATTTATTGGATTGGTGACCCTTTAACCTTATAAAATAATTGGCTTTAAGGTTCATATCACAAGACAAACAGAGTGAGTATAATGGAATAAAGCGTATTTATCTTTTTGGCAATGCCTTAATGGGAAACTCCCACCATAGGAAAGCAGCCGTATCACTACTGTGTATCTAACCCGAGCATTTAGATGTGCTAAACATTCTCAGTCTCCCATTTTCCAGACTGGTCTATTGCTTGTTAGTTGTTGGAATGCTACTAATGGCCTTTCAGCTGGAAACCCAGCCAGTTTCATAGGGAGCCTGCAGGCTCTCGGCTGTGATAAACTGTGGGAAAAGATTAACCATGCCAGAGCCAAGTCTTAACCTAATTTTCACATATCAAACCATTCAAGAGTATCTAAGCAGAAATAGCATTGAAATTCATATGATTTCTAAATATAACAAAAGTCTGTGATTGACCAGCATCCTACTGTTACTTTCTCCTTTTAAGGAAGGTATAACAGGTTTGACATTGTGAATAGGAATGCTGGGAATGTCTGTGTATAAGTACTACACCGGAAAAAACCCCAAAAGAAAACAAAAAAACCCACACTTTTTAATTGGGTCCTTTTCCAGCAATACGTAAAATTTCTGGTAAATAGCAGGAAGTGCTTAGCATTCATGTCATTTAATTTTTCAGGGAATAACATTATTTTCTTTAGTTTGGGATTGTTATGACCCTGAAAGCATGCAGTGAGTGAGTGATTTACCAGCAAAGTATTCTCGCTTCCTTAGACGTATCTTCACATCTAGATATTTAAGCATGCTGATCTCACCCACAATCTCGTCCAATCAGATGCTGCTCTCAAAATCATTTGATTCCCAGACTGAGTTTTATTTGGTTTGAAGGAGGAAGCGCCTCTAGTGGCCGTCAGGAAGATATAAAAATGTCCATGTTTTACATTGCAGAGTTAAAATGACAAGACCACAGCACCCAGAGCTCTTAATTGAGATGAAATGTTCTGAGTGACTGTAGTGTTCTACTAAACAACAAATATATAATTTATCATAAAGACTAATCATAGATTTAACTGCTTTAAGCCAAAGAAGCTTAATACTGACCACCTGTCCAGTATTAACAGTGTGACCATAGCGCCTGTTACTAAAGTAACACATCCCCATGTCCTGTCCCTCTCCTACCTAATTGTCCTTGCTTATTCAGGTAAGAGAGGGACAAAAAGAGCATATATCTCCCAGAATGCTGACACACTGAAGTCAATGACCATGCAGAACTAAGAAACATCAGTCAGCGATGTATTTTCCACGAGGCTAACAAGGCATTTCCTTGGGCGGCACTTTGAGGGGGGCGGCAAAAAATGCTGCTTTGCAAGCGCCCTTAGCTTCTTTCATGGGGGGGCTCAAGAGCTGGTCGGCTGGCCACCTCAGGGCCCCCCAGACGGTTAGCTGCTCATATTACGGGCAGGTGGCAAGTAGGGCCTAGGAAACAATCCATTTTGCCGCCCCCTCATGAAATAGAACTACATTCCCTCAGAGTTTTATTCACTAAACTCTGAATTGTAGTAAAGAGACACTTATTGAACAAGACACACTGAGTACACATTAAAGGGAAACTATAGTGCCCAGAAAACAAACATTATAGCTTCCCCCTCTGTCAAGCGCCCCTACCTTGTGGTGCAAAAGGGGCAAAAAAAACCCTTCTGTCACTTAGCCGGGTCCAGCTCTGATGTCCGTCGGCGCTGGTTCGGTTCCACCTTCACTCCTCAATGGCCGTATTAGAATTCCCCCATAGGAAAGTATTATACAATGCTTTCTTATGGGGTTTTGCGTGACACTGGACGTCCCCATTAATAGCCACTAAAGGTGGATTTAACTCTGAACGGTAATCATTGCAGTTTGTTATAAACTACAATAATTATTTTTCCAGGGTTAAGGGTCCTGGGACAGTGCATCCAGATCACCTCAATCAGCTGAAGTGGTCTGGGTGCCAATAGTGTCCCTTTAAGTGAAAGCAGACACACAGTGAGAAAGAACAGAAACAGCCTGGGAGACGTTTAGGGAAAGGATAGAGAGACTGTTGAGATATGTAGGAAACAGAGACTGGGAGACATTTAGGAGAGAGACATAGTAAGCACACATTTAGAGAAAAAGGACACACTCTCACACACACTCACTGACATATATAGTTTCACTTACACATTCTCACTAACACACACACACACACCCACTATCATTGACATCCACACACAGTGTCCCTCTCACTAACACACACACAGTGTGGAAAAAACAGAAGACAGAGGAAACTCCAATGGTATAGTATGAACGGTAAATAATATTGTGTATATAATAGTAGAACTACTCACAATATTCAGAGCTTAAATCTAGCTCTGGTATGAATGGTACGAAGTGGAATAATCCCCACTCAAGTATATATGGTGCTCCTCTTTTGTTCTTTGGTAGAATAAATTGGTGGAGTAGTCCACCTCGGGATAAAAGGATAAAATATATAGTGCTCACTGTATAGCTGATAAAATGTTGAAACAGAATAAAATATACTCACGGTATATGAAGCAGACATACTGCTTGGTGGATGGCGTATGGGTGGTATAATCCCCACTTTAGAATTCTTGGTACTCCAATATGGACAAAAAGGCGATAGTAGTTAGGTCTGGATAAAATAAACTAAACTTGTAAATAATAAAATAATATAATACTATAGTGGAAAGAGGAATGTGGCAAACAAATGTATAATTACTATACTATAGTACTATATTATTTCATTCCTCCAACACCCGGCGCACCCAGCCATTACTCCCACGTTGAGAATGTGGATGCACATCAGACATCACCTAGAGATATCACCTTACCCATTGCTTCTATACCCACTATCACACAACCCACTGTTTAAACCAGGAGAAACTGGAACAACCTACAAAGACTACAACTCTACACCATACTTGTCCCTGGCTATAATTGACGACTCAGGGGGTCAAACCTCTAGCCACACTCCTCCCTAATGAAAACCACTCACCACTGAGGAAATTCCACTAATCAATTATCCCACTTTGTCCGTACAGGGCCATACATACAGAAGGGATATCGCGCACTTACTAATTTCAAACATACCTGTGGGATACATTCCATCAAAAAGAAACTGATATCCACTATGTACTATGCAATGCCGTACATGCGCATTAGACCTCTCCATAGAAAGCACTGAAAATGCTTTTCAATGGGGATTTTAGCGACACTAGAGGTCCTCACACAGAGTGAGGACGACCAGCGATGCTATAGCACAGAAAACCTATGCTATGGACCAGGAAGTGCCCTCTAGTTTATGAAAACTGCAATAATTACAGTTGCAGGGTTAAGGGTAGTGGGAGTTGGCACCCAGACCACTCCAATGGGCAGAAGTGGTCTGGGTGCCTGGTGTGTCCCTTTAACAGCCGTAGAGTGGTGTGCAATATTCAACCTTATCCACAAATCCTCAGTGAATCTCACTCCTCAAGTAACTACAAGATAATTGTCAGGTGGCATTACACCCCCAACAAACTTCAAACACTATTCCCCCAATCATCCACCAACCAAACGCAATCTCTGCACACATATAGTGGTCACATATAGTGGTCCTGCCTGGTGATACAGGGCTTCTGGTCCTGCATAGCTGAAATGATCCACAACATTCTAGAGCTGACACTCTCGCTTAAACCCCACATTTTTCTATTCTTCCTCCTCCCATCACATCTACCCAAAAGCAAAAACATCCCTGCTGCTACACTTCCTGACAGCAGCAAACCAACTGATTCAACTGTTTTGGAAAAAAACATGCCCCCCATCCATTAGAGATTGGATTCAAAAAGTTTAAAGTACCAGAATAATGGAGGAAATTTGTCACTCCTTGAACAAACAATACCATTTTTATAATTCTACCTGGTCCCCATGGTGCAGATTCCTAAGGGACAACCCAGAACAAGAACAGTAAGCTAAACCCTGACCACACATACCCAAGACCCTACTAACTGAAATCTTTCCCGCTAACTCTCATTTGCCTTAAGTCCACCAAAGAGATTTCCATAGGCCCAGGCAACAGGAAAACAAAATGCAATATGTTAAGTTTAGACAACCTTCCCCTTTACAGTATACGTTATCCCCTTTTTATGTTATATGCTGATATGTATCTTGATCAACACATGATAAATCCAAACTAGGTAGACCACCCCATGGTGGGAGAGGAAAGTGACTCCACTCCATACTGGAACATGTCCAGCGCACACATGATGTACCCACCCTAAGTACATGCCCTATTTAGGATATACTAAAGATAACAAATGTGTCTCGATCGAGCCAAATGTCTTAAAGACGTTCTGCACCTTGTCTACAGACCAATACATGGGCCCTGATCCCTATTAAGTACAATGTTCTACATAATATTTTATATAATATTCTATGCAGAGTTGTTAATTGTATAATGCACCCGTGTTATATGCAATGACGTTTTCCCTTTGTATACTCTGATTCTCATATCTCACTCCTTGGACATATATTAACTTGTACAATGCCTATATGTCTGTAAAATCTTTTTGGATCAAGAATAAAAAATGTAATAAATAAATAAATGCACCATCACTAAAAAAAATAAAAAAATACAAAATGTTTACACTTCCTTTATTGCAAATTCGTTAAATTTGGAATGTCTTATCTCCTGCACTGTTAATAACTTGCTAGACCTTGTAGGGGCCTCCTGTATGTAATTAAAGTTACATTTACGGCAAGGGAAAGAAAAACTTCTAAAGTAAGTTAACATCTGATTGAACGTTACATTATTTGTTCCATGAGAGGAGGTGTGAATAGGGCTGCATAAACAGAAACAAAAGTCATTTAACCACTAAATGACAGAGAATTGAGCAGTTTTGTGTGATCTATACACAAAACCGCTTCATTTAACTGAAGTTGCTTTGGTGACTATAGTGTCCCTTTAATCCCTTACGAAAAACATTTGATTTATGAAGAGTTTTTGTTTTGCAAAAGGTTTGAAAACATCTGCCATGAAGCAGTCATTTCACGAAAGTCATGTATGCTGGGTTTAGGTCCAAAAACTAGTTGAAAACCTGCAAATGGGATCTTTGATCAGCATATAATAAGATTCATAAATAACAGAAGGCCGCACTGCAATCAGCCACAGACAGAATAACAAAATGCTTAACCAAGAAAATAATCTTCTTCCATGTGATTCCAGTCCACAAAGCAATAACATTGCAAATGTGAGGAAGGAAGCAAGAAAGGAATGTCAGAACAAAGTAGAGTGCCAGCACCCAAACAAAATTAGTGTTAGGACTTCAGGAGCTGTAACCAAATGGAAGTAAATGTATCAGGAAACCATATGTTTACTTTTTCTTCCTAATGTGGTTACAGACAATAAAGCGATGACACATGGGAATCCATATGCATATACAAGCAGTACAGGACACAAAGCCACAATAGGTGGGCCCAGTGTAGATAAGATTATATGCTCATAGAGCATTTCTTTCAAAAGTTTCATCAGCAACATGAGGACAGTAAAATGTGAAAAAACACAGGTAATGGGGCCAAAGTGAACACTGTACTTATTTCTTTTATAGAATGGTAGTTTGCTACTCTGTCCTTAAGAAATACCAACAGTATAGTTTTTTTTTTAGTATCACCATTGGAACATACCAGGACTGTGGGTATGCCTCGAGGACTGGGTTAGGAATAACTAATAGAAATCTCATAATGAAAGGCCTGGGAGGTAATCACATCGCTAGAAAAGTGGGAAGTAATCCTGTTAGTTTGTTGACTAAAGGCAAATGAAGCAGTTGCAGCAATAAAAAAAAATATATATATATAGACAACAAAACAAACCTAAGAAAACAAGTTCTTCATCAAGTCTTGGTCCAAAGAAATTTACAAAACAAGGAAGTGATCTTGCATTTGAACGTTCAGTTTGCATTAAATACTTGGTCCAGTCTTTTTCAGGATACCTACAGACTTTTTCATTAAACTGTTAACGAAAATGTTTTTTTTTTTATTTAAGTTGTTGTGTCCAGAATATATATGACTGTGCATGCATGATCAATGAAATTTGTAGCTGCCAAAGTGCCTTTAAAATACAATAGTGAAATGGAGATGTCATTTCTTAGCAAATTGAACAAAAACATGTGTGGAGTCCAATCAAGAGAAGTAGAAGAATATGAAGTGTGTTTTAGAAAATCCAAAAAAATTCTTTAACTCCTCCACATTCTCTGAAAGTCTTTCTCAGAATTGCTTGGAGCTAAACAGAGAAACATTGACCAAGTCTACTACTGGGACACATAATCCAGTCACTATTGAATGCATTTAAAGATGCCAAAAAAGGGATTCTTAAAAAAAAAAAAATAATGAAAGGGAATCAGGCTATTTATCTTCTCCTGAACAAATCATGTCACCAGAACACCAGAAAGCATATCTCAATGTAGTGGAAGACAAAAAGAGGGTGTTTGTATGAAATCCTTGGTCCGGTCCTTTTCAGGACACCTACAGACTGTTTCATTAAACTGTTAACGAAAATGTGTTTTTTTTAATTTAAGTTGTTGTGTCCAGAATATATATGACTGTGCATGCATGATCAATGAAATTTGTAGCTGCCAAAGTGCCTTTAAAATACAATAGTGAAATGGAGATGTCATTTCTTAGCAAATGTTGCTTTTTCACATACCTTTAAGATATACAATGCAAGACAATAATTAAACTATTTTATTTTAGCTTGCAGATTTTGGATTGTCAAGCCTTTATCAGAAGAAGCAAGTCTTGGAAACATACTGTGGAAGTCCACTTTATGCATCCCCAGAAATTGTAAATGGTATTCCATACCAAGGACCTGAAGTAAGTACTCAGTCTCTTAAGTGGAAGTTACCAAATCCACACTTCTCTGGGAGTGTGCATCATTGATCATCTTCCCCTCCCCCATCCATGCCACCGCTTTACCGAGAATAACTCTGCTGACTTTGCCTTCCATTTCTGAAGAATAACAGCCACTATTAAATTTGGGCTTACTTTACGGTTGCCTATTCTGCCTTTGTGTATATTTGTTACACAAATATATATTTGTTACACAATTCTTGTGTATATTTGTTACACAATTACACAATACTGCCTTTGTGTATATTTGTCTTTCACTTTTCCCTTGAGAAAGGCACCTTGGTGTGCCAAAATGTTGGGTGGGTTTCGTGACTTGTGTTCTACTCTGGTAGGCTATTGATTCATATGTGTATACTGTATGTTTCTATTCTATCCTTATAACTTCTTGTTTGTCCTTGTGTATGCTGGGTTTTTATGTAAAGTTCCATTTATATTGATAGTAAATGGTGTGTATACTGGTTTATATTTGTAGTCTTGTCTTTCACTAACACCTCTGAAGATGATCTTCTCTTTGTCAACCCACGTGTGCTTTATTCCTCTAACCATTTATTTCACTTTATCTCTCATACCCATTTAACTAATCTCTACATTGCTATTAACCCTTTGTGTTAAAACTTTATATAACCCTGTTGTAGACCAAGCTCTTATTCACTAAACCAGGCATTTTAAGGGATTGACAGGGGTGCTACACAAAATAGGCCAAAACTGACAAGCTGGAAAATTAGATTATTTTTAAAATGTATAGAATTTGGCGATGTTAGCCCCGGTATATTTTAAGTGTTACACTATCTCTATATTCTTTGTGTTGATTTTTTTGTATTAGTAAAATGTGTGTAGGATTTGTAGTATATTTGACATATGTTGAGTGTTTTTACATCTCTACATTCATTTGCATTTACAAATTGGCAGTTTTGGGCCTAGTTACTGGTTTTGTGAATAGGCCCAATGTAAATAATTCTACCAGAAGGTACCTCAGTAATTTCTATGCAGTTCTTATATGCTTTATCTTGGATGTAGGTTGATTGCTGGGCCCTGGGGGTACTGCTTTATGCACTGGTTTATGGAAGCATGCCATTTGACAACAGCAGCTACAAGACCCTTGCAGAACAGATCAGCTCTGGCGACCACAGGCAGCCACCTCATCTCTCAGGTAATTACACTAAATACCTAAGCAACTCTTTACCTACATAATGAAAAAAAACAACATCATTAGTATTCATAACGCTAAATTTAAAATTATTAAAATTCTTGGAAAGCAAGCTCCTCAAAGAAAACAGATTCCTTTCTAGTTTTCTCATTATCTCTAATTACAATATAATAACAATCATTTCATATGGGGTTTTCATAGTGAATTGAAAAGCTAGCTGAAAAGTTCAGAACAAAATAGCTGATGTGAAATTCTCCAAAGTAGCTATAATCACAGCTGAACTATTATAGCCCAACTGCACTTCATGTTGAAGTTCACTACAATGTGGTATTTAGTGAAGAAGCATAATTTTCTAATCATAATTAACACTGCTGAACACGATTTAAAATACTATAATGTGTCTTATTTCCATGTAGGGGCCTGCGGACTAATAGATTGGTTGCTGACAGTTAATGCAAGAAATCGAGCAACGATTGAAGATGTTGCTCATCATTGGTGGGTCAACTGGGGTTATGACACTGTGGTATGTGACTGTGATATTGTCCCCAATTGTCACTCCCCTCTTTTGGCCCGCTATATTGAATGTCAAAATACACCTGGTTTCAATGAGTTGAACAAAAAACATAGTGGAGTCCAATCAAGAGAAGGAGAAGAATATGAAGTGTGTCTCAGAAAATCCAAAAAAGAAAATGACATAATTCAGTCACAACAAGAATCCGACTTCACAGTTTCAAGCCCAAAACCAAAGGGAATCCTTAAAAAAAGGAGCAGTTTTGACAGTTCATTCTTTAACTCCTCCACATTCTCTGAAAGTCTTTCTCAGAATTGCTTAGAACGAAACAGAGAAACATTGACCAAGTCTACTTCTGGGCAACATAATCCAGTCACTATTGAATGTACTTTAAAGATGCCAAAAAAAGGGATTCTTAAAAAAACTAATGAAAGGGAATCAGGCTATTCATCTTCTCCTGAACAGATCATGTCACCAGAACACCAGAAAGCATATCTCAATGTACAGGAAGACAAAAAGAGACCTGAGAAACATGTCAAACGGAGGAAAGGCATCCTAAAAAGGAATGGGAAATTTTCTACAAGCTTGGATCTGCCTGCTGAGTGTTCAGCACTCACCCTCTCTGACTCCTCAGAAGATATGATGTCTTCCAATGCAGGGCCAGCGAAAAGTCCAAGCCGGCCTTCAAGTGTCATTAGCGATGACAGTTTTCTTTCCAGTGACTCATTTGACCTGCTCGATATGGCTTCTGAGACAAAATGCCAGCTTTTTTCTTACAATTCAAAGAACAAGTGTTATAGTTCAGAGGAAGAAGATACTTTATCCAACAAACTTGAAAATAGTTTTTGCAACAGCAGGCATCACTTATGATTCCTGTACCACCATCATCCAAAAATTGATAACTACCTTGGATGCACACAAAGTACTTTATTCAACAGGACATTGTTTTGGATATTTTACAATTTTTTTTACTAGTTTTAATAAATACTGTCACAATTTTAAAAAATACAGTTGTACCTTTTTATAAATAACAATAAAGACATGCCATATAGTTCTTCAGTATGAAGAACGGTAAAGGTTCCAGCAGAGAGCATAACTTTGAGTCAATAAAGACTGCTCACTAACAGCTCTTTGAGTGCCTGGACATCTTTCTTTCTTAATACTGAAGGTCAGATTCTGGATCTCGCCAGGCCGGTCTGGTTGCACTTTACGTAACTGTGTATTTTTGATGTGTGCATCCCCTTCATGGATTTGAATATCATATGGTTATTTAGTAAGTGCACAGAGATACAGGGAATTTTTGTATTTAATTTTTAAAGTCAGAAGGAAACCAAGTCACAAAAGTGGAAGTGCCACTGAATTTAATTGACTAAATAAACAAATAACTAAACTAACTAACTAAATAAATAAATAAATATCAATACTCACTAAAAAAAATATCTACTGTGACATGAATATAAATAGAAAAGAAAGCAGTCTGGCACATATTTGGCAAAGCCTCATAAGCTCCTTGGTTACAAGTAGAACCAATAGGTGCATTATCATGTAAAACAACTAGCTTCATAGTGGACAAATATGGAAAATAATGAATGTGTGTTTTTTTGTTTTGTTAGCTGTGTGATGTGTATGTCCATTTATTTCCATTTTGCTAAAGTGCAGATTTCATTATAAATTGACAGGTTCTTTTACTTCCTGGTTTGGTTAGCTCAGTGGAGCTAAACTTAAGAGGCAGCAATTGCTCAGAGCACCTACCTTTTCATTGGGGTAAATCTAAAATGGCTTAAAGAAAAACTGCATTTCTCTTGTATACTGCCATTACAAGCCCTCCCCTTCTCAACCATGCCCAAACTTTCTGTTGCTGCCCAATCACAGACTTCCCAATGCAGCTCAATGAGAAGTCTTTCAAGGCTGGTGCTCTGGGAAATTGCTGCGTCTTGAGTTTAGCTCCACTCAGCTAAACAACCAGGAAGTAACTGGACCCGTTCTCTGCTTGAAAGCAAGGGGGTGTAGCCAGGGCCGGTGCAAGGATTTTTGCTGCTCTAGGCAAAAAAAAAATGTTGCCGCCCCCCCCCATATGTCCTGCCCACAATGTGACATCACAATGCCACGCCCATATTCTCTGCCATATGGGCCAACGCCAGTCTTCAAAAAGTGTCTTTTATCTGAAAAGGCAGTGTGTTTACATTAAAAAGCCTACAGGCTATAGACACCAGAACCACTACATTATGCTGTAGTGCTTCTGGTGACTATAGTATCCATTTAATGTGAGGTAAATTAGAGATTAGTACCACTAATAATATATTGGATTGCCTACTTACCACCAGATGAGGACAAGAGGCTGATGATGGGCTCAGTCTGGCTCCACAGGTCTGGTGTAGAAAAGGCTCTCTGGAGACTGTTTTTAACAGTGCTCACAACAATATAGAACAGGAAGCAGCTCCATTTGTTAGGGCCCCTTACACAGGTCTGGGTCTGAGTATGCCTACAATGCCCACCCATAAATCCACCTACATGGCCCACCCATGAGTTCTCTCACAGGAAGTGCTGTGTATGTGTGTAGGGGATGTTTTATGTGTTATTGTAGAGGATGCAATGTGTGTGTGTATTCTTATAGAATGTAATGTATAGGGATACCAATTTGTGTAAGGGATTTAGTGTGTTTATAGGGGATGCAGTGTGTGTTTGCGTGTAAGGAATGCATTGTATGTTTCTGGGTGTGAGTGTGTGTAAGGGGTGCAAGTTGTGTTTCTGTGTATGTAATTGAATGCAGTGTGTGTCTGTAAGGGGTGCATTGAATGTGTAAGAGATGCATTTTGTTTCTGTGTGAAAGAGAATGAGTGTTTGGGTGAACGTAAGGGATGCATTGTGTGTTTCGGGTGTGTCTGTGTGTGAGTAGTAATGCATTGTATGTTTCTCTGTGTGTGTGTGTGGGGGGGGGGTGCATTGTGTATGTGTGTAGTGTAAAAGAGAGGGTTTGTGGGGTAGGATAGGGACTGAGAGGGGAGCAGCTCTTTATTTTTTTTAATTTCATAGTTCTCTCTACTCAATGTCAACACTGTCAATTATTGATTTCCCCTTCCCTCCTGTCCCTCCGTGTTCTCCCCTTCTGTCCCTTAGTGCTCTCCCTTGGCCCCCTGTCCCTCTGCAGTCCCCCCCTTGGTGGTCTTCTCACTCCCCCCTCTCCCCCTTAGTGGTTCTCCATCCCTCCCCTTAGTGGTCCTCCCTCTCCCAAACCCCTTAGTAGACCTTCCCCTCCTCCCCACACCCCCTTAGTGGTAATCTCCCCCCCTCAGTGGTCTTTATCCTCTCCCCCCCCTTAGTGGTCCTTACCCTCCTCCCCTCTATTTAGTGGTCCTCCCTCCTCACCTCCCTTTGGACCTCCCCCCTCCTCCCTCAGTGGTCCTTACCTCCCCTCCCTCAGTGGTCCTTACTCCCCATTTCCCCTCCCCTGTGTTCCCTCACCCCCCCTTCCCAAGTGGTCCTTACCCCCTCCTCCCCCAGTGGTTCTACTCCCCCTCCTCCCCCAGTGGTCCTTGCTTCCCAACCCACCCTCCCCAGTGGTACTTACTCCCGCCCCCTCCCCAGTGGTCCTTACTCCCCTCCCCCTGTGGTCCTTACCCTCCCCCCTCCCTCCCCTAGTGGTCCTTACCCTCCTCTTCCTTCCTGCCTATGTAGCTTCGGAACGCGAACTTCTGTTTCCTGTACCCGGCTGCCGGCGGACTGAAGGGAAGCGCTGACTGAGTGAGCACTTCCTCTCAGTCGGACGGCAGCCGGGTACAGGAAACAGAGGTTCCTGTCCCGCGCCGCCTGGCCACGCTACATTGAGAGACCAGCAGGAGGAAGCGCTTTGCGCTTCCCTCCTGCCGATCACTCAAATCCGGCCGCCCTCCATACAGCAGTGCTGCGCCGCCTGAGGCTTGCAAAAGTACTCAGGCGGCGCAGCATGAGGAGCTGCACCGGTGATTCCTAGGTCGCCTTACAGGTAGCGCCGGCCCTGGGTGTAACCAGGTACATTTAGAAAGGGACATTTTCTACTGAAATCTGCACTTTTCGCAAGAAAAACAAGTAAAAGAGGACACACTCTTCACATATAGAGGTTTTCAGCAAGCTTAAGTGCTTTAGGGATCTGGAGAGTACCTCCAATTCGAGACTTCTGAACACTGCACAATAAAGTGACACTAACACAATAATTTAGATTTGTGTCTCTGAAAAAACATTTGTACCTTGCTGATATATGAATTCAATAATTATGCTAAATTAAACTTTATGTAAAAAAATAAGATATTTTGTCAACTAAGTATTTGCACTAACAGTTTAAAAGAAATATGCAGTGTGTTTTAGGGTTTAAAATTAGATTGTGTGCAGTGAAATCACTAAACTTGGTATTGTGAATAAATAATAAGAGAATTGAACATTTTAGGCCAAAATGGGAAAACAAAAAATCCAACTTATCTATTTTCCACAACGCTATAGGCCTAAACATTCCTTCAGTGATTACAGACAAAGGATACAGGTGCTGAAAGTAAAGTGTGGAGAATAGAACTATATAGCTGTATGCATCTAGCAGGAGTTACAAATCTCCTTCCTTCAGTAATTCCTCAGTAGCTGCAGTATGCGCTAATTTAGATACTGTGGTTCCATTTTACTGTCTTCCACTAATTTCCACTAATATTGACAAGATGAAATTGTATATTTCAGGCAGATGAGTTAAATATTTATCACAATGGCATTGTTAAGTGTACTAATTGAGTTCTTTATTAACAATCTTAATATCATTATTTAACAACTGCTCCTAACCAAAGCAGAAGAAAAAAAATGCAAGATTTACTGTTACCTTCCAGATGAATGTTAACACAAAGGAATTATATTCAAGTATGTACAGGTTTTTGTTTTTTTTAAATATTTGGCAAATTTTTTTTACAAAAAAGTGAAATTGCTGTCTTGCGACCACAGATTAAGGTTGCAGCCTGAGTAACAAGTTATTCCCAGTATTCATGCAAGTGGAGCTATGTTCACGATATTAATGGATTTGTTTTGGCGAGTTGACAACTTGCTTAGTAAATAAAGGGCAAGGTACCCGAGTTTTAGAAAATCTACAACTCAGAGATGGATTTTTTTTATGGCCTACATTTTTCAAATCACTTGTCAAGTGTCAACCCAACGAAACTCAGTACTGAATAAACACGTTGATGTTATTTCTAACTAAAGCATACTTGTTGACAAATGTACTCATTTGTATGTACTGCAGAAGCTGACGTTTTTAACTTCAACAAACATTCATAGCATAGGGGCTTGCAGGTAACTACTGGCTTATTACTTTGGACAAAAATTACCCCTTTGTCAGACTACCAGCATGCTCTTCATCTGAAGTCAGATAAAAGTAATTTATTTGATGTAAATGTATTATAAACACCAGACATAGTATAAAAACAATATTCATTTATTGTATACTACGTAGGCTATGATTAAGAAAATGCTACTGGCCACCACTGAGGGAGTTGTCAAAAGTCCACTTTGCTCTAGGTATTATTTAGTCACATAATAAGTATTGCTGATGACTTATGTTTTACCACCTATTAGTAGAGCTTATCTTTCTGAATATTGATACACTGGGAAGAAAGCAGAAAGCTGGGACTATGGATCCATTGAACTGAATATGAATTAAGAATGAAATAAAATGAGCAAAAACGTTCTGTTGCTGTTGATTTGTCGTTTTCAATCAATGTTTATTGACAAGGTATAAGTGAGGGTATATGAAACAGGAATATTGTTATTTTAAACAACATTTAAAAAAAAAAAGCTACAAAAGTAGCAAATATAGGCTATGGTGTTACGGCAGCTGGGGAGCAACAGCAATAGAACTCCACTGCATAGTCAGAAGCTGCATACATTGATTATACAAAAGCTTTTTTGTCAGTCTTAATGTATTTAAAGGAACACTAGTGCTAGGAATACAAAGTTGTATTCCTAACACTATAGTTTCCCTCTGCACTCAAAGGGTTAAATAATGTTGTAAACACGTATCTCGCGGCGCTTGCTCCATCTACGCCTCTTTCAATGTCATTGTATGTGGGAACCTAATGTCATGGGTGGCAAGCACCACATACGCATTATGTGTTGCCCATAGGAAAGCATTGAACATTCATATCCTATGGGGATATATAAGACGCTGGAAGTCCTCATGCAAAGTGTGAGGATGTCCAGTGTCGTTGCATGGAGTTTAAGTCTGTGAAACAGCAGAAAGCTGCAGAGTAAAGGAGATAGGGGTAGTGCACCCGTACCACTTCAATGAGTTGAAGTGGTCTGGGTGCCTATTGTGTCCCTTCAAGGGAGTATCCCTGGAATATTTTGCACACGCATAAAGAATAATTAAGATAAATTCTAATCTAGAGTTCTTGAGGGTTACACAGTATAACAACTTCATGGTGTAAAACCAAATCAGCACTTGAAACTAGTAACACGTAATTCTATTAAAGTCACTTATTTAGGCTTATGCAAGGCATGTGCGGTGCAGATAGACAAAGCATTTATCTGAAAACCCAGTAATACTACAAATAAAAGTTTCTCCTAAAGTGGCCAATATGGGAATAGTGGGTACACATTTTGATAATTATACTCCTACTATATTATTTTATACAGTGAGCACTATTAGTTGTCTCCTCCTTTTAGTTTCTATGGTCTACGAACTTCTGCATATTTACATCTCATCACGTATCCTATAAGTGGGGATTGTACCGTATGCCATTCATACTAGAGCTGGTTTTTAGCTCTATTAAATGTGAGTAGGACTACATTATACCCTATTGCTTTTAGACTACTTCCGTATTGGACTTATTGCACTATAACCTTTTCTCTGTTTCCCCATACGGATCCCTCAAGTTGTTTCCACCTGACTGATACAGAAAACATTCTCCCCATAAGACTGTTGCCTTTCCCCCTGGCAAGATTTGATCTAGGACTCTGTAGCGGAGAGTAATGGTAGCAAGGCTGGTCACTCCAATAGCTATTCAGGAACAAGCAAAACATCAGACGAAGCACAGCATAAGTAGTAAATAAATCCATGAATCTCCCATCACCCTTCCCAATAACTGGACGTCACTCAGTATCAGGAGCAGAACTGGCTTTTAATTCACACACTCAGGTTTTATGCAATTCTCCCATGCAAGAGAGACACCCACAGAGAATTAGGCATTAACCAATCCATAGATGAATACAGTATCCATATTCCCTCCCCTTAACTTAATTACCAATAAGATGTAAAACATACTTATACTGAAAAATCTCCCAGATCGGTTATGGGGTTTGAAAGTTTTATGGAGGTGAAAAGCACAAAAAGGTCTAATATAATGGGTTTTGCCATTGTTTGTATGATTCCCTTCATTCGTATAAATCTGTTCACCGAACGCCGTTCTGTTCTCTTGTTTTCCCACGAACTGGTGTGAGTATGGAGGTCTTGGCGGTGTTCATGTAGTCGAGTGTCCGATATGGGTTCCAGACACTCGACGACCAAACACAGCTGGTGTGTTTGTATGTAAAGATGGCCACCGCCACGTGTTCGTATGCCGAACGGCGGCCACCCAGGGGATACTCTGTTAATTTGTTTGTTTGGCAATTAAGGCAGTGTGAATAATGATAAGGGGGGTCAATTAGTGCCACGCTCTTCTCCGGGTTGGCCTGGTTGTTCGGTAGTTTGTTTGTTTGTCCTATGTTAGAAATAGGATTCTTACCGAACAACCAGACGAATGATATAAAAGGTAACTTGTTACTTGTCTCCCATAAGTAATGAACAGCGGCAAATAATATAAACTAATGCAACAAATAAGGTGATTGAAAGCCAAAAATAAGAAAGGTGTATAGCAGCAAAACTCAGTCCACTACAGACTCCTTTTGGTATATTTTATGTTTTGAATTTTACATCAATATTGTACTCTTTAACCCCTTAAGGACGGAGCCAAATGTACACGTTGTGAACAAAACAAAATGTAAACAAAACCTGGCATTTGCGCTACATGTCTGTCCAACCATAATTCACCTCTTTCATAGTAAATGCACCCACCCTTATTATATATCATTTTATTCAGGGGAAACAGGGCTTTCATTTAATATCAAATATTTAGCTATGAAACATAATTTAATATGAAAAATATGGGAGAAAATACAATAAAAAAAAAAAAAAATTCAACGGTCAATGTCATAATACTGTTTGCGTTTACTGCAATAAAATACACATATTTGTATTCAGCAAAGTCTCACGTGTAAGACAGTACCCCCTATGTACAGGTTTTATGGCGTTTTGGGAAGTTACAGGGTCAAATATAGCACATTACATTTGAAATTGAAATTCGCCAGATTGGTTACGTTGCCTTTGAGACTGTATAGTAGCCCAGGAATGAAATTTACACCCATAATGGCATACTATTTGCAATAGTAGACAACCCAAGGTATTGCAAATGGGGTATGTCCAATCTTTTTTAGTAGCCATTTGGTCACAAACACTGGCCAAAGTTAGCGTTAGTATTTGTTTGTGTGTGAAAAAAGCAAAAAACCTCAATTTTGGCCAGTGTTTGTGACTAAGTGGCTACTAAAAAAGACTGGACATACCCCGTTTGCAATACCTTGGGTTGTCTACTATTGCAAATGGTATGCCATCATAGGGGTAATTTTCAATCTTGGGCTACCATAGGGTCTCAAAGGCAACCTAACCAATCTGGCGAATTTTAATGTGAAAAAATGAAACGCAAGCCTTATATTTGACGCTGTAACTTTTGAAAACAACATAAAACCTGTACATGAGGGGTACTGTTGTACTCGGGAGACTTCGCTGAACACAAATATTTGTGTTTCAAAACAGTAAAAAGTATCGCAGCAATAATATCGTCCGTGTAAGTGCTGTTTGTGCGTGAAAATGCAAAAAACGTCACTTTTACTGGCGATGTCATCGTTGTAATACATTTTACTGTTTTGAAACACTAATATTTGTGTTCAGCGAAGTCTCCCGAGTAGAACAGTACCCCCCCATGTATAGGTTTTATGGTGTCTTGGAAAGTTATAGGGTTAAATATAGTGCTAGCAAATTAAATTCCCTTTACTTTTGGCATGGGTTGTCAGGCAGGTCCCGCTAATTGTAATTAATTAAGATACCTAATTATGTAAAACTATTACATAAATATATATGTAGAATTAATATATGTATATATATATATGTATATATATGTATATATCTATATAATTTTTTTTAAATATTTTTATTTATATATAGGTATATATAGTGATATATACATATATATTTATGTATATAGATATATATATTTTGATATCTATATATATATTAATTTCACAATACAGTTAGAATGAAATAACACACATCTATATATTTTTTAATTATTTATTTTTAATTATTTTTTTAATTTTATTTTTTAACGTATTTACATATTGTTTTTTATATTATATATAAATATATATATATATAACAATAATTATATATATTTAATCAGTATCAGTCTACGTGTAATTTGATATTAATATATATATATATATATATAATTATATATATATTAATAGTAAAATACACCTAGACAGTGTACGTGTATGTATATGTGTATATATATACTTAGATCATATCTAAGTATATATTATTATTGTTTTTACACTTTTTAATTTATTTAAGTTTATTTTCAGCCAGCAGGGGGACCACCGGTCATTACAACGCAAGGACCCCACTCTCACATGGCCGGGGGGCTTCCAGGACGTCGTACGTGCCGCGGGGGGCTCCCTGGGAGTCCCCCCAACCGCGATCGCTGGCGTTGGATCGCCGGCGACCGGGTAAGTAGGAAAAGACCGGAGGGCGTACTATTACGCCCGGCGGCGTTTAGAGCCGCTTAGAATAGGGCGTAATAGTACGCCCTCCAGTCTTAAGGGGTTAAATATACTTTTATATACGTACTTCTGTCTTTGGTGCAACCGTTCCCCTTTTTACTTTTATATATTAACCTGGTTACACTCCACTGGCTTTCAAGCTGACAACAGGTCCTGTTACCTTATGATTTGGTCAGCTCAGTGGAGCTAAACTCAAGAGGCAGGTAATTGCCCAGAGCACTTGCCTTGTAAACTTTATTAATCTGCATTGGGAAGTTTGTGATTGGACAGCCACAGCAAGTCAGCAAAGGCAGCATACAAGAGAACTTCAGGTTTTGCAAGTGGTTTTTAGATATAACACAATGAAAGAAAATGCATGGTTTCATTTGGTATATATCTACTAAGCAGTGCTATGATTTCTTTTGTATTTTGGCCGTGGACCGTCTCTTTAATATAAAAGTACATTTTAAATGATCATACAAGTTATAAGCAACCTACTGAAAAGCTTTACAAAAGGTATAGATGGGTTTATCTGACAGAAGAAAACAGTCACCAGGCCCTCCATCTTGCACTTTAAAAAAAATCATATGTGTAGAATAAAAGCAATAATATGATCAATGCATAGGGTGCTAGGAAAGGTTCATAAGGTGAATGATATTAACAAAAAGTAAAATTTTCTCTGTCTTGAAATATTTGATATCTTTTTATAGACTAAAAATATTCAAACGCTGCCAATATATAGCCAATCTATGACTACTCATCTATGAATACTTTGTTATTTCCAAGTCTTCATGAAACGAAAAGTTTACAAATAGGCCATAGATATAATGGTTACG